TCAGGTGCCCCTTCCTCTCTTTGCCTTCTCAGCAGTAACTGAATCTACCTGCTATCAATTACAACAGCAATTTAAATCTGGTAACTGGAGTGAAAAACTTTTTCCCTCTATTAATAAAAAGAATGTGCTAAACACATGCTTTATTGCTCTCTATAGGCAGATATGGGGTTGTCCCTGTGGCTTATCATCCTCTGACTCCTTGCGCCCTGACTTCTGAGCCACCAATGTGAGCTCTTTAACTACTCCACCTGGTCAGGCCCTTTTGTGGGCAGCTGCCACCTTGAATTAACGTTTTATCTGCCTGTTTCTCATGCAAGGAGATCTAGCAATCCAAAATAGAAAAGAGACATCTGCATTTTCCCCCAGTAGCAACACAGAGAGCTGCTTCTGCCTTATTTAGATCCTACTAATATTTGGGGGAATCGTCCTCTATTTTTTGCCTGACTAGGTGCTGCAATGCCCGAGCCTGCATTCTCAGCTCGCTGGTCCTCTTGCACCATCTAGTGTATGAGGATGGAAGTGGCTCAATCTATCACAAAGTCTCATGAAGATTCAAAGATCCACCTGATATTTTTCAGGCATCAACCCAAACACTCTGGATGCTCAGATAAAAAAAAATAATAATTCATCTTAAAGGAGACGTATGAGAATGACAAGGATTTACTAATCATCCATTTGTGGGCCAGATGCTTATGTTTATCTGTTGAACCAAGCATAAAGCATTTGATCTCTGAATTCACCTGTGCTGAACATGGATTGGTAATTCAAACGATCATTTATGTAGCATGAACTTTCTACTTGACATTCTGTCTTGCCTCTGAAAACTACTGTAATTAAAAGTCTCTGAAAGCCAAAATCTTCCAGCTGGAAAAAGTTCCTATACCTTAAAGACTCAGGACAAGGAGTGTAGCAAACATTGGTCACCTGGGAGCTCTAAAACCACCAATGCCCTCTGGCACACCCCAGATCAATTAAGTAAGAACCTATGGGTATGACCCCAGTCTTGGAGCTTTCTAAATCACCACTACATGATTCCAATGAACAGTTAAAGCTGTGAATTGCTGCCACAGTCTTTACTAGGCTTAGGAGTCAAAGATACTCAATAAAATGGATCTGAGACTTGGCCTAAGCAAAGTTTACACTGCCTCTTCAAACACTCCCCTTAAATTTGACCCAGCTTCCTTAGTGACATCCTAAGTTTTCTTTTGTCCTTTTTATTTTTCCCAAGTTAATTTGTTCATTTCATGGGAGAGATAGGGGGAGACAGATATTCTTAACAGGATCTTACCATACTGTGAGCGCCCCCTGTATTCCAGCCAGCCTAGATCAAAGGAATGCCCATGGGCACACCAAGCGTACTCAGGTCTACCAGGATTCAAACCCAGGGCCTCCCTGCCATGGCGTCCTATCACCTGCACCTCCACGGCTGAGCCCCCTTTTATCTAATGGCAGTCTAGTAAGTAACTTCCTTTGGGATAAGGGCCAAGTTAAAACTGGAATTATTACTGTCCCAATAATTGTAAGCAGGTTCCCTGCAACCTGGACTTTGCCTTATCTCCAGATTCTAGACATGGTTGGGGATGGAGGAATACTGGGATCTGAGCAGTTTCCCAGGCACTAGATAAAGCTTTCAATGCTAATTGTCAGAACTCCATTAGTGGGCAGGGGCCCCTCCCAGGACAAATTCCTCAGAGATGGGAAAACAGTCTTTCTCAGCCCTCTTAAAGTTCCTACTCCCCTTTATGATGTGGGTTGTCACTGCAACCATGATGCTGTAAAACTGAAATGGGACCATTTCAGATGAGGCTGCAGGGAGAGGAAACGGCCCACTCAGATTACTGAGCAGGCCCACAGCTCGGTGCAGGAGCTGAGTTGCCCGATTCTTCAGGGCAGTCTGCCCAGAGAGATCAGGAAGGCTGCCTACCGTAGCACAAGACCAAGGGAACAAACTGCTTTACAGTGGAAGGTCCATCCTGTCCTCTGGACTGTCTCGTGAGGCAGAAACAGGTGTCACTGACAAATCGCAAAGCTGAATTCAGATGTCAGACACTCCTGGGTTCCAGTCCCAGCTCTGTGATGTGGGACAAGTCACTGATCTCTCTACACCTCGTATCTTCATCTCTAGCAGAAGATCTAAGACCTTCCGTGTGGAGCTATTGTAAAAACTCAGTGAGAAAGATGGACATAGATGCCTAACACCAGGAAGGACTCACAAGTTGTCAGTCCCTGCTCTCTTCTGAGACTGAGGATTCCACTTTTCCTTCTCCTCTGATAGCCCTGCTCCAACATTCTGTTCTTCAAAAGAATTTATCCTTGGGCAAGTTCCTCTACCTTGGATTCCTATCATCAAGGTCAAGTTTGCATAACATTACATATCCAGAACTGACCAGCTAAATCCTGGAGATCCTCCTTTGGAATCTCCCCATTGGTGGTTTGCAAGCTTAGTACAAATGGAAATCACCCTAGGGCTTTTGAAATGGTAGGGCCATTCCTGGGCCCTACTTCCCAATTCTGACTCAGTGAATTGGAGTTGGGCTCATTAAACTGGCTGTCTATGATGTGTGAATCAGGGGAATATGTTTTGATAAACATGATTATAACACTAAAGGCCTCAACTGCCAGTTAGGGAAGGCAGCCCCCACACCCTATAGCTCTGCACTTAATTGTGTATCCTGGGCACATGACTTCCCTACTCTATGCCTGTTTCCTCATCTAGAAGATATGGCTAATGATACCCTCTTGGCAGTGAGTTATCCTTTTTAAAGATAGGCTCCCTGGACCCTGTGTATGCTTGCCCATAGTGTTAACGCATATCCCTCTTTCAAAGTAGGTTGTGGGTTGTGCCTAGGGGGAGAACATCTCAAAAAAGAGGACTGTATTATCTCAGCCCTCTGAATTTCCTCCAAGGCTGACCAATCCAGCTGCCCTTTGATGTTACACCATCCTGCTCGGTTGTGTGTCTCTCTCATGGTTATGCCCTTGGTATATGAGCATTTGGAGCAAGAGGTCTGGAAAGTAGCCAAGGTTTGAATCCTAGGTCTACCACTTAGCAGTTGTGTAATCTCACAAATAACTTTACCTCTCTGAACTCTCATTTCCACATTACAAAATCAGGACACTATAATCTCAAAAAATTATAAGGCTTAAACAAGATAATAAATGGAATATGTAAGGAGAGGGCTTCTTGGTCACAGATTGGCAAACCTGGACTTTCCTGTGAAAGTGTTAACTGAAAGTGAGAGAATATCATTCTCACCAATTATGTACTAAACTTTGATTTTTTTCAACAGCTTTATTGAAATACAATTCACATACTACACAACTCACCCATTTAAAGTCCATGATCTTTGAGTTTTAGTATATTCAGAGGTCTGCAACCATTCTAACAGTTAATCTTAGAACATCATTTTCATCAAGCCAAAAATAAACTCATCTTGGGACCAGCAGTTAGCGTAATGGCTGTCGCTGGACTCCCACGGGTCAAGTCCCGGACCCGGGGCTTCAAACTCACACCAGGCGCATGTGCATGCGTGCCCAAGATCCCAAGAGGAGAATGGAGGAGAAGGGATTGCGGCATGGCCATCCCCCTGGGGGGTGATTTCTCGCTTTCTGTCTCTCTGTCTCTCTGTCTGGCGAGTGCATATGCCCTATGGCAAAACCCTTTCAAAAAAAATAATAAACCCATCTTTAGCTACCGCCCTCCAATCCCTCTAGCACATCTCCTCCACCAGACCTACGCAATCACTGATCCATTTTCTTAATATATATATATATGTATGTGCCTACGCTACGGGTTTCATATACATGAAGTTATATGAAGTCTTTTGTGACTGGATTATTCATTTGGCATGCTGTTATGGTTCATCCACGTAAGAGTATATACTTCAGTCCTTTCTATGACTGAATAATACCCCACTTTACGGATATACTGCAGGTTGTTCATCCATTGATGGACATCTGGGCTTTTGGCTATTATGAATAGTGCTGCTGTGAACAATGACAAACAATGGTCAGCGGAGTGTGGCCCAGCACCTCTCTCTGTAAATCAAGTTTTATAGGAACACAACCATGAGATCTGCTTACATATCATCTTTGCAGTATAGTTTGGCCAAAGACTCTATGTCCAGAAAGTTTAGTTTTCAAGTGGCCCTGTCCAGAGCTTGCAACTCCTGGTACAGCATGTCATGAATACACTGCAGCAACTTAAAAATACAATCCACACATTGTGATTGTATTCTCATATAAACTATATACATGAACAGGGAAAGATTTTTAAGATATAATAATGAAAATGTTCTATTTTGGAACCAGCAGGTATTGTGGTGGTTAAGGTGCTGGACTCCCACATGGCTGACCGTGGTTTGAGTTCCAGACCTGGTGGTTTCCTTTCTCACTTTCCCTTCTCTCTTTCTGTCTCTCTCTGGTAAAATTTAAAATAAAATAAAGAAATAAAATAATTATTTTAAAAAAGAAAGAAAGAAAGAAAAGAAAATATTCTATCTAAGCTTCTAAAATGAGTAGGCACCATTCACTTGGTTTTGTTGAGACCCACAATGAGAAACATTGAGTTCTGAGAATAAACAGCCAGGAGGTAGAACTGAAGAACTTGGGCAACAGCTATGCTTAATGGGATGTCCCATGCATAGGACACCCCAACATCTTTGAGTCCTGCCTGTTCCTCCAGGACTTCTCCCTTCCAGGGAGTCCTCTGAAGCTACAGGCTGCTGAGAGTTGTGGAAGAAGTACCCCTTCTGCACACACTGGGTCTCAGAGGGATAAAAAATAAAACCAAAAGAATAGAGGTTCAAATATCCCCAAACCTCTAAGTCAGTGGCCCTAACCTGAAGCACAGAATCAGCAGACATGCCCCCAAAGCACAGTTGTGCTGATGGGGCTTGGCTCCCCAGGTGGAAAGGCCTGCCCAAGAGAAACGCCAGATAAAGCCAGAAGAACGATGTGGCCAAGTTAGCTCTTCTTCCCACAGTAACAAGAGGAGCCCTACCTCAGGCATGTGATGGGCCAGGAAAGGAAATTCCCTCCTCCTGGAAGCCCTGAGTGTTCCCTGGAAGGCTCTTCAATACAGGAAAGGGCTGACTGATGGCTGCCCCAGATGGGACCCAGGACTGCATGCCCATGTCCGCCACCTGCCTGGAGCCACCCACCGCCAACTGGCCCTTTGACCCAATGGTATCATAGCATCTTAAAAGCGCAGTTTCTTGGCCTTTTACAGCTGCAGAGACATATGAATAAGGATATGCAGTGACAGACCACACACAGATTCCAGCTGGCTCCTGTTTCTTCACAGTCTCCTCTCCTGACAGATCTGTACTCTCTTCGTACTTCCTTCAGGACTGCTGCTTATTTAGTAGTGTAAGAAGTGTCATTCGGGTGGCACATCCATCTTTCCTCACAGCTCCACAATTCCCAGGACCTGTCCTGCCCTCTGCAGACATCATCCAACATCCTAGGAGTGGCCACCACTCCCTCTGTGAAGAAGCACTTAATAACTTTTTATTGGGAAGAAAAAAGAAAAAAAATTAATTGTTACATAATTGTTTAATAAAAACCATTCAGTTGTCAATGAGTCTTTATAAAATCAATTTAATCCATCCAACCTTGGTTTGAGATGTTGAGTCTCACCCACCATAGGAGGTGATGAAATACATCAGGTAAAGTCAAGTAAAAGCTGTTTGCAAGCTCTTTAGGATCTCAGCAGATGCCTTGAGAATCTTTAGCTCCTCCATCCACAACATTTCCACCAAAGTTAGCTGGTTTGTCAAAGTCACTTTTTCCTCTTTCATTTGGGTAACCTGGAATTTACCATTAAATTATTTGAACTGCATGTATCTCAAAAATTTTACCATTTAAGAAAATTTTTACATGTAGGGACCAGCAGTTGACATAATAGCTATGTCGCTGGACTGCCATGTGGTCGACCGTGGTTCAAGTCCCGGACCTGGCGGCTTAAACTCATGCCGGGCGCATGTGCATGTGTGCCCAAGATCCCAAGAGGAGAATGGAGAAGGGATTACGGTGTGGCCATCCCGCCTGGGAGGTTATTTTTTGCTTTCTGTCTCGCTGTCTGTCTTTCTGGCAAGCACACACACCCTATAGCAAAAACCTCTCAAAAAAAAAAATTTTTTTTTACATGTATAGTTCAACAGCATCAAATATAATCACATTTTTGTATAAGTTGAGCACCCTAATCCAAAATGATCCAAAAATTCAAAACTTTTAAACACTAACATGACATTATAAGTTGAAAATTCCATACCTGACTTTGTGTGATGAGTCATAGTCAATATATTATAATATAAAAAGTGTATAAAATTACCTTCATAGTAGGTATGTATATATAAGACATAAATGAATCTGGTATTTAGAGTTGGGCCCCATCCCAAAGATACCACATTATATATATATATACAAATATTCTAAGAGCTGAAAAAAATATAAAATCCAAAGCACTTCTGGTCCATTTTGGATAGGGATCCTCAATCTATATAGCCATCATCACTATCCATCTCCAAAACTCTATTATTCCAAATATAAATTCTGTAGCTACTAATTAATAGTCCTATTTCACTCTCTCTCAAGCCCCTCATAACCTCTACTCTACTCTTCTCTCTCTATGAACTTGCCTGTTCTAGGTACCTTATATAGGAGAAATGGCTTATTGCATTTAGCAGAATGTCTTCGAGGTTCATTACACTGTTTTTCCCAGTCATGTTTCCATACAAATGAAATGATTTCTCATTTCATTAAAACATTTACTAAAAATATAAGAGGGTAAAAAATTAAAAAAAAAAAACTTGAAAATCTGTTACTAAGTAATCATGCAATCATTTTTAATTCTATTACTCTAAGGCATAGTTAAGAGTTTACTAAACTAAGGAGCTGGAAACCACATGCCAATCCTGGTTCAAGCTTCCAGCCTAGTCAGCCTGAAAACATGCCAGGTATGCACGTGCATATTCCAAGGATCATGCTGGCAAGCTGGAGGACTACAGAATAAGGATCACAATATGACCAAGCCCTATGAAGGGCACTAATTTCTCCTTCTCTCTCTTCCCATCTCTTGTACACATACACATGCTCCATCATGAATAAGAAAAAAGTTTAAATAAATAACAAGTATAAGCAAAGATACAGAATCAATCTAAGTGTCCATCAACAGATGAGTGGAAAAAGAATATGTGGTATATATACACAATGGAATACTATCCAATCTTTATAGTAGTTAAGGCACTGGCCTCTCACATGGCCAACTGCAGTTTGAATCCTGTACCTGGTAGCTTGAGGATCACACCAAGTGTGTGTGTGTGTGTGTGTGTGTGTGTGTGTGTGTGTATGTGTGTGTGTGTATGCCCAGAAACCCAGGAAGAGAATGAATAATTAGGGATTGTGTAGTGGCCATGCCACCAGGGACTGACTTCTCACGTTCCCTCTCATTGTCTCTTTCTCTAGTGAGCACATGTACCCTACAACAGAAACTTTAAAAAATAAATAAAAAGATTAAAAAATGGTAAGTACGTGACGTGATATTTATATATTGATATATATATATAGATATATATATATATATTATATATTGTTTGACTTACATCATTCCATAATGTAAACACATATCACAACATGTTGTACACAATAAATATGTACAATTTTTATTTGCCAATTAAAAATAAAACCTTAAAAAATGTTTTGAAAAGGTGTAGACACAATTAACACTCAAATGTAGATATTACATCAATATTTATCTATTTAAGGCAATAAATAGTGCTCTTATAAAATGCACTATTCTAAAATAAGACCAAAATAAGTAACTTGTTGATCAAAACACTTCTTTAAGAAAAGATGTCCTCTTTCAGAAACACACCTTTTCTTTTTTTTTTGGAGAGGTTTTTGCTATAGTGCACATACACTCACCAGACAGAGAGACAGAAAGTGAGAAATCACCCCCCAAGGGGGATGGCCACGCCACAATCCCTTCTCCTCCATTCTCCTCCCAGGATCTTGGGCATGCACGCACACGCGCCCGGTGTGAGTTTCAAGCCACCGGGTCCGGGACGCAAACCACAGTCAACTACATGGGAGTCCAGCGACATAGCCATTACACTAACTGCTGGTCCCCAGAAACATACCTTTTGAAGCATATCATTAGCCTCTTCTATGAAGTAATAGCATATTTTCTGGGCTATGTCCAAACTTGTCTTCTCATTTGTATCTGAAATTACTTCCCCAAGAAGTACTTTTTTCCAGCGTATACTAGAAACAAAATATCCAAGAAGATAATTTCAACAGGCTCTCAGAAAATACTTTTGCACATCAGCACACCATGCCAACACTTCTATTTTTCCAGAAGCATAAAACTCCTTCCATAAGCAGACTACCTAAAACTTTCATGCCATTGGCAGTTCCTATATGGCAGCAGGCAAGGTCCAGAAGAAAGGAGGAGGAGGAAGAGGAGGAATCAGAAATAAAAAGCAAAGAGAGTAAGCACTCTCTGCAGGCAAGGATTGAATTTGATTCTCACTATACCACTGTGTCTGGCACGTAAGTAAGTGGAGTCACATCCACCAGCTATGGGAAAGAAACAGAGACAGAACAAGAAGGCTCATCTACGGCTCAAAGGCCCAAGGAGAAAAGGTAGGAATTTCTCAAGTGATAACTTTCCTAAAAAAATGGCAAAAAGGAGGCCAGCCTCATGGGCTGACTAAGGGAGTAGATTTCTATATGGCTGACCATGGTTCGAATCCCAGCCCAGGTGACTTGATAAACATGCCAGGCACATGTGCATACATGCCCAAAGTTCCAACATAGTAGAGAAATGGAGGAGGAAGGATTGCAGCACGACCATGTTCCATTGGGGGGTGCTTCTCCCTGTCCACCCCATCCTAACTCTCTGTCTCTCTAGCAAGCACAAGCACCCTCTGGCATTTAAAAAATATGTAAATAATGGTAAACTAGAACCCATTTCACAAAGTAATGCATATATGGAAGAAGAAATCGACAGCCAAGCCCTTCTCTATATGCAGGGTGCCCCATATTATATACTACATTTCCTGTGCTATGAAGGTAGGCAGGAAATGGGACTCCAGGGGTGAAAGGGCCAGCTGCTGCAGGCAGAAAAGTATCGGTATGTTAGGATGGGCCCAAGGGAACCAAAGCTAGATGCTGAGCCAGAAGGTGGCAGAGCCAAGGATATACGTTAGGAAGAAGCATTAGCCACTGAGAAAGAAGGTAAGAGGGACAGATTTGGATGCAGATAACCTAGAAGTGGAAGTGACCCAGAAGAGAAGACTGGATGGCTGCTGCACCACCAGAGTGGAAGGACACAGAAGCCAGTTAGAAATTCAGAACAGCTGACAAGAAACAAGGACCAGGCTCAGAACTGGTTCAGGAATGACAGCTGAAATCTCAGTAATAAACAAGTTCTCAGCAGAGAAAAAAGGAAATTACCATGATCAAGCAAGGTGCTCCATGCACATTTGGCCCCCTCCACATCTATAGATTCCACATCCATGGGTTAAAAAAATTGCTAATCAAAATTTTTAAAATAATAATTTTATATATATATGTGTATTTATATATATTTATACTTATAAGTATAAATATATATAAATACATATATATCCTGGCACATCTTACTGAATGTGTAGACATTTTTCTTGTCACTATTCCCTAAACAATACAGTATGACAGCTATTTACGTAGCATTTGTACTGTATTAGGTATGATAAGTAAACGAGAGAGGACGTACAAGTACATGGAAGGATGAGCACAGGTTATAGGCAAATACTACACATGCCACTTTATATAGGGCCTTGAGAATCCTCAAGACTTTGGCATCCATGGGAGGCCTGGAACTAAACCCCCGCAGATACTAAGGAACAATTCTACAACCATTATCTAATTTAATCTTCACAACCACCCTGTAAATAAAGCATTCGACTTAAAGAAACTGAGACTCAAGAAAACTGTAGAACTGGGGCCAGCAGATGGTGTGGTGGTTAAGCCACTGGACATGGCAAACTGTGCTCAAGTCCCAGACCTAGCAGTTTGCCTTTCTTTCTCTTTCTCTTTTGCTCTCTCGCTCTCTCACTCTCTCCCACACACACACATGTGCCCTGTAGCAAAAATCTCCTAAAAAAAAATACATAAACAAATAAAATTAAATAAATAATGATTATTTTTAAAAAGAAAATCAAAGTTGGAGAACTCACCCCAAATGACAAAGTAATGAACTGAGGCAGAAATGGCATGCAAACACACATCAGGTAGAATTTCAACACATACTTTTCCTGTCACACCACTCAGATATTGAGAAATGACTCAAAAGAAGAAAGAGGCCTAAGGATGAACTCCTATAAACACCCAGGTGTTTCATTTCATTTTATACCAGGGCCAGTTTGTGGAATTTGGATACCACATGGACAACTGTGTGCTTGGAGTCCCAGCCTCGGCAGCTTGAAAACACACTAGATGTATGTGTGTGCATGCCCAAGACTGCAAAAGGAGGGAGAGAATGGAGGATAAGGGACTACAGTGTGACCATACCCCACGGGGGGGAGGGGGTGTTTCCTCATTTTCCGCCACCTCTCTCTGTCTCTCTCCAGCAAGCATGCAGGCCCTCGGGCAAAATTAAAATAAAATAATTTATGACAGGACCAGCAGATGGCATGATGGTTATGTCGCTCGACTCCCACACAGTAAACCATGATTCAAGTCCTGAGCCTAGACTCATGCCAGGTGCCTGTGTGTGCACACCCAAAATCTCAAAAGGAGAACAGAGGAGAAGATATTATGGCATGGTCATCCCTTATGGGAGATGAATGCTCAGTCTCTGTCTCTCCGTCTCTTTCTGTCTCTCTGGAAAGCACATGCATCCTATAGCAAAAATCTCTCTTAAAAAAAAATTAAAAACTGGGGGGACCAGCAGGTGGTGTGGTGGTTAAGGCGCTGGACACTCCCACATGGCCGACCAGGGTTCAAGTCCTGAACCTGGTGGCTTGCTTTCTCACTTCCTCTCTCTCTCACTGTCACTCTGTCTCTCTCCGGTCAAATTAAAAAATGAATGAATGAATAAATAAAATAAATAATTATTTTTTTTTAAAAACTAAAAATTGGGGCAAGCAGATGGTGTGATGGTTACGTCGCTGGATTCCTACATAGCTGTAGTAGTTCAAGTCTCAGACCTGAAGGCTTGAAATTCATGCCAGGCACATGTGTGCCCAAAATCCCAGGAGGACAATGAAGAAGAAGGGATTGCAGCATGGCCACCCCCCCAGGGGTAGATTTCTCACTTTCTGTCTCTTGTCTCCCTCTCTCTCTCTCTCTGGTAACCACACATGTCCGATAGCAAAAATCTCTAAAAAATAATAATAATAATAATTATGTTGAAGTACTACAAAGAACTCATTCCTTGTCTCAAGGATTTAAGGAAGTTTTACATGGGTATACACAAGATAAAACAAAATGTAAGATGAATAAATGGGGAAAACAAGATAAAGAGAAGATGAGAAAAGGAAAGATAAGACACCCAGGAATGAGTCAGTGGTAAATTGCATGCCTTAAGATCTTGTAAGTTTGGGTGGACCACAAATTTGCCTCTTGAGTTTTCTGGCAATCAATAAAAAGAAGAAAACATATCAGTTAGAGAATTTATAGTGTCTGTAAAATAAAAACATCATCTGCTGAGAACACACACAACTACTATGGTGTTGAGACCAGGGAGAAATCTTATCTCCTGAGTCCCTAGAGAAGAAGAAGCTAGCAGTATCACAAACAATAACGAACATGAAATGAGCATCACCTACGTCCAGGCACTGAGCTAACAGCTACTCGAAAGCATTATCTTATTTGATCCTAACTGTTGGTGGCTAGGCTTCTCCAGCTTCCAGCTCTCCCCAGAGACTGGGCAGCAGTGGGATGGAAGCAGTGCTCCCTGACAAGGCCCTGGGTTGAAGGGGGTCCCTTGTAGGGCACAGCGCAGCCCAGGGTGCTGACAGGAGCTGCGGAGGTGAAGGAGGGGCTAACTAATACAGCCTCCCCAGGATGCAAGTCTACACCAGGAGCTCCTCTCCTTGCCTCCCCCATGGGAAAAATCCAGGCTTTCTTCAGCAGTATGCCCAGGGTAGGCCCCAGTGGGCCCACGGCTAGAGGCTCCACTTATTCCAGAAAAAATCTACTACTCGGAGCTCTCCTCTGAACGGTGCCACTGCTCACACTTTTAAAGTATTGACCCTGTGGGGCCAGCAGGTCACGTGGTAGTTAAGGTGCTGGATTTCCACATGGCCAACCACCAACCCAGTCTGGATGAGACAGTGTGAAAAAATCACACTAGGTTCATGTACATGCGTGCCCAAAATCCAGAGAGAAGGGACTGTTGCATGGGAGTAATTTCACACTATCCCTCCCTCTGTCTCTCTCTGCTGTCTCTCACATGTGCCCTATGGCAAAAAAAAAAAAAAAAAAAAATTAGACTGACCCTCAACAGCAAGCACCAGGTCACCAGGGGAAATATCTGAGTAGAGATTTGCAAACTTTCAGAATCTTGTACTCTGAATATGATTCTAAAGCCAGAATTCCAGAAACGGTGAAATCTCAGACACGGGCCCAGTGCTGTGAAACGGCAGTAACACAAGAGCCCTGCAAGGCTGGAAGCTATGTAGCCAATTGCACGCTTGCCCAGGTTAGTCTGAAAACAGGCCAGACACAGGCACCCTGGACCCTGAGGACACAGTTGACAAGCTCTTGTCGAAGGTTCTTCTCTCGCTCTCAAAAGCATGAGGATATACTTACTATCATTAAAATTTTTAAAAAGGGTCAGCAGGTGGTGTGGTGGTTCTGGCTACTGGAGTCCCACATGACCAACTGCACTTCAAGTGCCAAACCTGGCAGCTTGCTTTCTCATTCTCTCTCTCTCTCTCTCTCTCACTCGTGAGCATGTATGCCGTATAGCAAAATTTAAATTAATAATATTTATTAATTAACCTTTTTTAAATTAATTAAATTATTTCAAAAACTTAGAAGTAAAACATTCATTACATAGGCAAGTTGTTTATGGGACAAGCAAGTTCAATATACAATGACATTTTTTTTTCTACTCAAATTGAGTATTGGAATGCAGGTCAAAAAAACTCCAAAGTCACATCTGGATTATAGCAACAGTTTAACGGCAACATGTGTGGAACTTACAATTCTTTGGCTTCCAGACATAACAGTTTAAGGGCTGTTAGTAACCTCCAAGATGGTCCATCCCATCCAAATGTCAAATTTCTAAAATAGAAAAAGAATGACAAAGCCATCATTTTTCAGTACTTCTTGACACCATGCCTAATGGCTGAAGAGCCGAACACTGTTTTATTTTTTAATATATATTTTATTTTAATTTTTTTATACATTCAATCACATACATTACTTGGCTTACAAAGTGAATGTTCCAACATGAATATATTTCTCACTAGTTCAGTTGGGGATACTATACACATTATTGTCAACAGATAATAACCCATTTCTGTGTCCCATAAATGTCTTGCCTTTTTTTATTTCTCCTTAATGTCTTTCCTCAGACTCTCCTCCTTCTCCCACCCTCTTCCCACAATGTCTCCAGTATCTGTAACCATTTTCTATGTTTCTATATCCTCTAGTCTTTCAGTTTCAGCCATAGAGTGCAGGTTGCTAAACATATTATTGTCAATCTTAGTTGAAAAGACAAAGGAGAAAAAATAAATGCACAATACTAAAGAATAAAGCCTAAGTAACAAAATTCCCTTTGTGTTTGAAAAAAAAAAGGGGGGGGGAAGCTATTTTCCAATCAACTCCAATAAGAAGCTGAACTTGCATGAGGGAGCCACAGATAGTGAGTACAGACCACAGATCCATACCCACTCCTCTCATAACAGTGAGATGAATGACAAATTTGGATTATCCTGGGGATCAAACCAAAGGCTCCCACCACAGCCAAACTGCCTTCATATTATTGCTGGATTATTTTTTAAAAATATATTTTTATCCAGAAAAGAATATATGAAAAGGAGAACAATGAACCCTGTTTATCTCATCTGATATAGAATCACCCAGTCTTCCCACCTACTCAAAAGCCTCTACCATGTTATCAAATGACTGGGTTCTCCAATAGGCCAGCCTGGCCTGCAGGAGCCCAGTGTCAGCCCACCTGACCACGTGGTAAAGACAAATGAACCCTAGGCCATCAATCAATACCAGGTCTCTATTTGGTGCAGTAATTTAATATTTCAAGCTTGTATCTTATGTCCCCAAATTAGTTTCTTAAAAGTGTCTTACACTCCCTTATGTCCCATATCAAGCATGTATTTACTGCACATAGTAAGTGCTCAATAAATACTTCCCTGTCAGCTGACACAGAGACAGAAGGGGTCTCACACCTATGGAAACCCTAACCCTCAATTTTCTCATGAAAAGGAATAAATTTAAAAGAAAGAGAAATACTTACTCAATAAAGCCATGATCCTTCAAAATAGAAATCTTTTTCTTCATCTGTTTATCTTCTGATGGAAGATATTTAACAAGTATATCTATATTTTTTAAAAAATCAGACTAAGATTTAGGATATAATTCAGACAAAAGTGGGTCAACTCACTTTTCTTCCTGTTAATAATCAAGACACATAAACAGTTTCACCAAATTTACACCAAAAAAATCTATTTTTCAAGATCATTTCAATGAGATCATTATTTAGCCTCTGAAAAGCTGTATGAATTCCAGGCAAGAGACAAAACATCCACAATTTCAGTGCATGTTCCCACAAAACAAATCAACCAACAAGATCAAGTAATTAACACATGTGCACAACTGTTGGAAAATTACAACCAACAGAAATATAGGCTCTGTGAAAACATGAGAAAAGGACTTAATATTGTGTTTTAAAGACTAGAATTCAAAAGAGTGGCAACATAATTGCAACCATAAAAAACTTGAAGTAAATATGCACAGATTATCAAAGCTACTTGGGGAGGAATAGGGCAATGAGGAGTTTTTTCTATTCTATTCGTAAAATGTATCAATAACCAAAATGTAATTTTTGTACAAATTAATTTATTCTATAAATTATATTTCATGGCCATCAATATTAGTTATCAGGATTCTGAATACATCAGGTTTACTCAAAACTAGTTTTTTTGAAGAGACAGCAAGTTCCAGTTTTTGCTTTTCTATTATTTTGAGAAATAACATTATTATTCCACCTACATATCACTTTGACCAAGTTTCTATTTCCATTCAAACTTACATGAAAATTATCTCAAGTCATGCGCTTGGTAAACCTCTGGCCATTTCCCATGGCCTAGAAATCTACTTCTCTGCTGCTTCAGAAGGAGAAAATATCAGTCTTCTGTGTACTGTTTTTAATACTATTTTTGGAATTTTCACACCATATATTTAATGACTAAATTATTACTTGAAAATATTACAGGGTGAGTATCCCTTTTCCAAAATGCTTGGCGGGCTAGCTGATGGCACAGTAGTAATATAACACTTTGGGATGTTGGACCAACACGGAAACGTCCTGGTTTACAGCCTGGAACCCTCCTGTGCACACCAGACATGCATCCTTGATCCAGGCTGGCTAAAGCTGGGGGTAAATCGTGGTGTAAAGACTGTTGAGGATGTCTGTCTGTCTGTCTCTCTGAAAGAAAGCAAGCTTTAAAAAAAAATGCTTGTCACCAGAAGTGTTCTAAATTTCAGATTTTTTAGATTTGAAGTATTTGCAGATACATAATGAGCTATCTTGGGGAAGAGACCCAAGTCTCAGCATAAAATTCATATATGTTTCATATACACCTTATTCATATACACCTCATATATACATATCCTGATAATTTTATACCATTTTTTTTATTTTCAGAAAGGGCACACACTCATCAGAGACAGAAAACACTCCTCCATAGGGAATGATCATACCACAATCCTTTTTCCTCCCTTTCTCATCCCATTAGGATTTTGAGCATACACACGCATGCATCCAACCTGTTTTTCAATCCTCAAGGTCAAGACTTGAACCATAGTTGTCCATGTGGGATCTGTCTCTCTATACACAGGGCTTAACCACTGCACTATGAAGCTGGTCCTTATTCGGTATTTTTGTACTGCAGTGTTTTGACTGTAATCCACCACACAAAATCAGGTGTGAAATTTTCCACTTACGGTATCATATTGACACTCAAAAAGCTTCAGAATTTGAATTTTCAGAATGAGGATGCTCAATCTGTAATGCTAATGGTGGTGGCTAGTTAGGAGATCATAAAAGAACACCAATGAAATCAAGATCTCATCATGGCAGTTAACTCCAATGGATTTATCTCTGCAATTAGCTCGTGTTTTACACACAGTAGGTGCTTAATAAATATCTTCCATGTTGTTTCCTAATCCTAGTCTGTGTTTAGTGATAGTAATGATGTCTCGGTACAAATATTTCTATTTCTTCACATCTATTAATATTATACTTATTTTTGTATCAATGTTCCTTTTCTTCCATTCTATCTTCTGCCATAATATTGATACAATACAACTTCTTTCAGTCTTCTTGTCATGAGTATCAATCAAAGTCTGGTTGTTTTTACTCAAATGCTGAAATTATACACTCAGTGTAGGTCACCCTACTAGGAAAAAAATAAATGGTAGATGCATGTGTTTTATGCTCTTGCTATTTTAATTAAAACTGAAGATAACTACATCTCCAAGTGGAAGATAGAAGTATATCATCTTAATAAGAACAAAGTTGATCCCAACCTGCTGAGACATAAACACAAGCATGAGGATTATGAGTGGAAACAAATCCGTATTCCAGGAGCAGCCGCTGGTTATCATGAGGACCATAGCAGATGAACACCTCTTCATATTTTCTATAATTTGAAGCCGCTTGAATTTCGTAACAGCGAGTTTCCTCATTAAATGCTGCTTTAACCTAGAAAGGAAAATTGTTAGTTTGTTTTTGTTTTTGTTTTTGTTTTGGAGAGGTTTTTGCTATAGGGCGCATGCACTCGCCAGACAGAGAGACAGAGAGACAGAAAGCGAGAAATCACCCCCCGGGGGGGTGGTCACGCCGTGATCCCTTCTCCTCCATTCTCCTCTTGGGATCTTGAGCATGCACGCACAGGCGCCCGGCGTGAGTTTTAAGCCACCGGGTCTGGGACGCGAACCGCGGTCGACTACGTGGGAGTCCAGCGACATAGCCATT